GGAGGAAGTAACCTATTAAAATAAAATAATACAACTGAATGTAGTCTAATGCACATTAGTAAATAACTAATTCACTCTATTGCTTCCTGCCTCTCCTCTGTTGCTTTGTTTTTCCATCTTTGTGACCACCACTGAAGGCTAACATGCAATCTGTCCTTGTATATAATTCCTTTTAAAGCTTATGGGAATTTTATGTATACAATCATTATAATGTCAATCAAATACATTTTAATCAATTAATTTTAAACTCCTCTGAATCCTGAGGAGTCTGCAATCTTATCTCTTAAGATTTTCAGGCCTGTCTTTGCAATATTTATTGAAATAACATATTCAAAGCTTTCCTTCAGCAAATACCAAATTAGCGCTTGAAGGAATTCCTCAAGTTGGTGTATTAATTTTAAGTCTCAATTACTACTGACAGCTTAGTCCATTACAAATTATTGCAAAGAAAAGCAGGCATAAAAACCTAATAAAAGTAATACTATATCACAGTGGGAACCAAGCTTTTTGGCAGATGTGCCCATAAATATTATGCCCTGCATCCTCCATGAGTCCCACTCAGCTCCCTTTCTCCTGCCCCATCTGCTCCTCTGCCATCTGCTCCCTTCTCCGTGTACCCTGCCTAATCTGCTGTTCTGCTTTGTGCATACTGCCCTATATGCCACTGTTCTATCTTCTTCCTTCCTGGTCTGTCATGTGCCACACACAGAGGCTGCCCATGTCACTTGGGGAATGCATACTGCAGGTTGGTTACCCTTGCTACATCAGATTACAGGCCCCTCTCCAGCCAAATGTCCACTTTTTCTCAGTGGAAGAGACTGGATGCTAAGGAGAGGAATATTTATGCAGGGCCAGACTGATCTGTCTCTTGCCCCTCTTTCCTACAGCTTTAATCAGTTGGAAGTCTGGGAAGTCCTTATTTGGAGCATGTAGACCTACTATCATTTTTAACACCCACTGTTGGACCTGACCAGCATGAATTTGTCTAATCCTCTTTTGAACCTGGTTAAACTGTCAGTCTTTCCAGTATCTTGTGACAGTGAGTTCCACTAATTTAATGACCTACTGTGCCTGTGGGGGGAAATAAAACAGATTCCTTTTGTTTGTTTTAAATCTGCCTTCTAATAATGTTATTTCATGTCCATTAGTTCTTGTATTGAGAGATCATACATAGTAAATATCTATTTACTTTCTCCATCTGATGAATTCTTTTATGGACTTCTAGCATATCCTCCCTCAGTCATTTTTCCTCTGAGCTGAAAAGTCCTGGACCATTTAGTTTCTTTTGGGTAGAAGCCTTTCCATGCCATCCTCATCTTTGTTGCCCTCCTTTGTACTGTTTCTACCCGTATATCCTTTTAAAGAGGGGGGAACTAGAATTGTGCACAGTATTCAAGGTGTGAATGTATCATTGATTTATAGTGACATTTTTCTGTTTTTTAATTCCTAACACTTTCCTGGTACAGCAGGAAAACAACACTCATCTTCGCTTTGTCACACTTATGTTTTTGTTAATTCTGAATTTCATTCTGTCCCTGACTATGTGTTTATAGACCTTGTTGATCCCAAGTACAGCTTGAGCTGCCTTAGGCTATCCTGAGTTTGTGGCTAACTTCTTTAAGGGTTTGGGCATCAAAATAGAAGAAATCTCCATCATGCCCACTTGTAACTTAGTGTATCAACCGCAGTGCATCAGGAATCTGACTCAGTAATATTCTTCTCTGTGTTTTAATATGTAAAATATAAGCTAGAAACCTGAAGAGTATCTTTTAGATAGTTGTCTCCATTGCAGTTTCTTGAAGTCTCAGGCGAGTAAAAGCTGAAGACGGTATAAATTCTGGGTCTCAAGTATTCTACACTGAGCAGCTCCCACTTTTTCCCAGTGAGTTCTTGGAGTAGGGAGGAGTGACAGCAGTAGCTGGGTCCTAATGCCAACTCTTCTGTGACCTGAGCTCTGTCATTGCAACCCCCCCATCTTCCCCTTTCTTTAACCTCAGTGTGCTCGCCAAAAACATACCGATCCAATAGGTCATGTTAATCTTAATACCTTTCCCGACCCTTGGTCTAATAAAGTGCTTAAATAATGCATGTACCTCTTAAGTAAAAAGCTTCAGGTCTGAGATTAATAATCTTGTTTATCTCTTCACCACAATACAACTTAAAGTATCCAGCAGCAGATTTCTACTATAAACAGGTAACTGCATGAACACCACTGTAACAGAAAACAAAAATAAAATTTGCTTGCTTATGGCCCTGAACCTGCAAAGATTTATGCACATGGTTAATTTTTTTTGCACTAGGGGCCTGATCCAAAGCCTATTGAAGCCATTTGGTCTTTCCATGGACTTCAGAAGGTTTTGCATCAGGGTCTCTGAGCTGTCTGCTTTGTTCAGAATGGTGTAAATTTAGGTAAGTGATACACATTTGCAGGTTTAGGGCCTTATTGAGAACCCCATACTGCACTTATGACTAGAAGAAAGAATTGCAATACTGTAGCGAGTCTGTTTTTTAAAGGACAGGGAAGAATTTGATGGTAAGGGGGATAGGATATTTTCTTGTTGATACCTACAAGTAATTATCATTAGTACTGGAATTGAGTGCGTTTAGAGATAAGCTAAAGATAATATAAGCAATAAACGAATCTAAGGCAAGGTGGGCAGCAGTCGCTGTGTTTTCACACCACAGATTGCATTCTTTGTATTCTAATTGTAATGCTCTTTGAAAGAACTTGTACCAGCATGAAGATCATTCCAGAGTAACTCTGAAAACCTGTATTACCATATAAAGGGATCGTCAGTATGACAGAGGATTTCTCAGAAGTATTCCAAGACACTAAATTTGAATAACTTGCCTCATTTTTATCTTGACAAAACAGTTTTACCTTTTGAACCTGGTATTTGTTTATTCTGTCTGCATGCTGCTATCTTCTTGGGTTTTGATAAACTTCCCGCATGGGCGAGTGAGAAATGAATGCTTTCCACTTCATCTTTTCCCTGAGGTCAAAAGTGAATGAACAATAAAATTTCTAGACTGAAATGATTTCATTAAAAGGGGACCTAGTTAACCTTTTGCAAGTTGTTATTTCTAGTATCTGCCTTAGTACGTTAATATAATTCCATGAATTTTGCACGTATGGTGGGGGTAGAGCAGTGAACAGACATAAATTATTAGCGCTATGTCACAGCAGTTAATGAAGACATAGTAAAACTTGCTAGTGGAAACAGGAAAAAGAATAGAAGCAGCATGATTTTATTCCTTAATATATCTGTACAGGATTGTCTTTGCTGTTTACTTGTGTTGGGAGAAAATCCAAAGAAGTGGGGCAGTACAAAGAGTTGGGACTGTATGTATGATGAATTGCAAGCAGAGGGGCTGTATGGTGACTGCCTGTGCACCTCCTGCATTAAGTGGCAGTATTACCACACTGAGTCTACATGAATTGATGTGTGGGAGAACTGAGAGGGGAACCAAAGGAACTGTTTACCTATAATCCATTGCATAAGAGGAGGTGTGGGGGGGGATTTGATCACAGTGATAAGGCTGTGCTGCTGCTCTATGCCTAAGTTGGTGGGGGTGTTTGGCTTTTGCTATAAGGCAGCTGCCTTTGCATTTCACCTAGTCAAGTTCTCAGGGCATGGTGGCAGTTCAGCTAAATAAGAAACAATTGTTCAGGTTTTATACAGTTGAAATGAATTCATCCTCTGAGAATAGATGGAAGTGAACTAGATTAATTTCTTTTTACAAACTCTTCAGGTATGTTGTAAAGTTCTGCAGATAGCTGTTGTGTCTTAAAGCTTTCCTCCTCTAGGAAATGTACTGCTTTCTAATGACAGGTATCAGCAGTGGGGACCATTTTGTAATTACAGCTAAGTCATGTTTGGCACCTGTTCAAGTGTGCTTATTGCTCATGCCTTTCAACGATTAATACTTTTCCTACTTTTAAAAGGGCCATACCTAATGCTATATGTATTACTTGAGTGTACCCAGTTTATCATCCTAGGTGTGAGCAAAATGGCAACTTTCTGTCATCCATGTCTTGAATATAGCAGTGCAGCCTGTAGAGATTATGGATCTCAGTGTTACTTGTTGCTTTTATTTGTTCTAAGTATCAGCCAAAACGTGCTGACATGTATAAAATGAAGTGGAGGTCCTGCTCTGAATATGCTTTGTCCAAAAGAAACACAGAGGTACTGTGATGTAAATAGTCAATGCATTTTAAATTCTGGCCAGTTTTGGGCAACACCCAATCTTCAGAAAAATGATCTATAAATAAGCTCTTTTTATATAAGTTAGACCCTTTAGAATCCACCAGACTGAGCTATAGAATTGTTTGTGATGCATCAGTGATGGAGTTTAGCTCTCTTAGTGCTTCTGATTCAACATCAATCATATTGGGAGGCGGATGTGTTTGGAACATACTGCAAATATTGGATGAGTTCCTAAATTAATTGAGGAGTTTGTACAAAGTTGGTACATTCAAAAGTGGGTGAGAGATTTTAAAGAGAGACTTCTAGTTCCTCAAAAACAAGTGTGAAGTTTACTTCTTGAGGGAAGATGGTGGTAAATTTAGCAAGGAACTCAGCAAGTTCTGAACTAGACAGGTTTTCCCATTGGTTTACTGAACCTGAAAGAGACACTGATTTATAGTAAGCTTGTCTTGCAAGTTCCAAGTTCCAGTTCCTGGTTTTCCCCAGATAGAAGTGTCATAAAATGCACTTCTTACTAAATAAGACCACCATCTGCAAATGTCTCCCTGTGGGATTCTTTAGGTATCCTACCTAACAATATACTTTAGTTTATATCATCTTTTAAAATAAAGCTTTATCTCCAAAAGCATCACCTAATCATTTTGCTAGAAACCTCCCTTTCTAAATAGAAATAGAAAACAAAAATAAAATTTTAATGAAATAGAAAACAAAATCTGAGTAAAAGATAACCTGCTTGGTTATTTGCATTCACTCTTGTAAATGAAGTTCTAACTTTGCTTTTATCTCCAACAGACAAACAACAGAAAGGTGAATTTGCTTTAGAGGGCTACACCGTCAGAATGAATAATACCCTTCGAAAGGATGCAAAGAAAGATTGCTGTTTTGAAATCTCGGCTCCTGATAAGCGCATTTATCAGGTTAGACTTTTTATGTCGCCTTGAAATTAAATTGATAAAACTGTTACGATTCCCGTTATGGAGACATTAACATTTCAGTAAAACAACGTTCCCTGACACGTTAATGAAAAAAAGAGAGCCTGGATTGCTTACACTGTACTTTCATATAATAGGAAATATATTCTAAAAAAAAAATCAGATTAAGTTCAAATACTATCTTTTTGGACAAGAACAAGCAAATCTATCATTTTTATCTATCAGTCACTTAAATGTTAGCATTTTAATATCCATTATGTAATAGGTCTGTCTGATTTGTTGGATGAATTAAATTACAACAAAAGTGGAATTATCAAACAAAACATATCTGAGTTTAAATACATATTGTATTGCTTAGGGCTTTGGAAGGGAAATCAAGGTAAAAGCACACATCAGCTATGCAATTCAAAGATCTATCAGCTAGACATCAATATGGAATGTAAGTTTAATAAGTTTTAAATATCTGAGATTGCAGTTGAAAGCCAGTTAATTAAGTTGTCAGGTAGTGTGTTGGAATCTGACAAGAACATTTTTAAGAAAACTGTATCCAGCAGTCTAAAGAAATTCATGGGTGTCTTCTAATTGTCAAGGGCAAATTTTGTTCATCAGTTCTGGCTTTGACATTGATGAAGAGAAGCAGCTTTTTTCTGCACAGCTGCCAGCTGCTGATCAGAGTTTCAAATCCATCATCCTCTGCTTCAATTACGTAAATTTGTCAAAATTAACTGTACATTATAAGAAGCATCCTTGCAAGAAAAGTACTAGAAGACATGAAAAGAATTACTAATGGTTCTTTGAGGAAGTGACAAGAATGCTACGTTCCTTCCATTACTAATGTGGTAGTGGTTACATTTTTATTATCATTACTTTCATTTTATTATTATTACTCCTATTTACAAATATTCTGCTTCTTACAGTTTACAGCAGCTACTACCAAAGAAGCAGAAGAATGGGTACAGCAAGTCAAATTTATAATTCAAGGTAAGTCAGCTAATGAAACAATATTTTTTGTCTTTAATTCCATTTAAAAATAACTTTATTTTAATGAGAGATATTGCATTGTTTTCAGTGTACTTTTCACCTCAGGTATATTGTAGGCCTTCAAAAGCCCTTGTTGATAGTTTTGTCAGTTTACTGCTTGATGAATCCATATGAACATAAACATTTTCAACAATACGTGAAAGATGAACACCCCTTATACTCCAACTGAAGAAAATGAAACTGTCATAAAAGATCTTTCACGAGACCTGAAAACAGAAATACTTAATGTATTTTCCTTTTACAAGAGTTATATGTAACCCAAATGTCAGTAGCAACTTGCTTTTTACATGTTAGTAAGCAGAGGAAAAGATCAAAGCATTCTTTGAAGACTATTGTCCTGTGTGTATACTCTTCATCCCTTCTGATAAATGATGACTTTCTCAACGGCTATTAAACAGATTTGGAATCTAGCATTATTCCTGAGGAGGAAGTGGAAGAAGAATATGATGATGTTGGACAAGTCAGCACTGAACCAATAGATGATGAAGGCATTTATGAAGAACTTCCAGGTACATTTGAGATTTTATGTTTGAGGGTAATGCCTCTTCTCAGTTTCTAAGATGATAATTGTGATGGACTCCAAGTAAGTTGACAGAACTTGAGTACCATGGTGCTGAAAAAAAATTCCTTAACAAGGTCTGCATAAGGGTACTTCAGCCTTGTTTATCAGAGGCATGAAAATCATGCAGCAGTGGTAAAAATGGTCTTATGGGACTTTGGGCTCATTAACTTTTTCTTTGCCTCAATTTTTTTAATTACAAAATTGACTTATACAGCTCTTTCCACTGATTTACCCATCTTTTTTTTTTCATTTTGGCATTTGTATTAAGCAGAAGTTCTCTACACATTCCATGTGTTATCAGCTGCTGCCTAGTACATGATTTCATAATCCCTGCAACAGAACATTGTGTTGGTTTAGAAAATCTCTGGTGATGAACTGTAAATAAAAGCACCATGAGTCTTGACTTAGTTTCCTTTCATTTCATCCAGCGTGCATCTGATTTATCTAGTGATTTCTTACGCTGGATTTTCAGACATGGTCAAATGTTTACACTTCTTGGTAATTGGATGTAAATCTCTAAATTTTCTGTTGGCAAGAAGCCATGGAGTATTCCATACAGTAAGATCTGAAGAAAGACTATACTTTCTATTTTAGTAAGCGCTCTGAAAATGAGCTATTCAATCTGTTACGTGTAAAAATAGTGTATTTATGCCAAAAGGACAATGCCTGATCCTTTTACATATTAAAAAATGCTTTTAAAATTCCATTTCTCTTGCTGTTCAGGGACAACACTACTATCAGCTAATAGCTTGGCAGATAAAAATAAAACTACATGTGATACAGGCTGCCTTCACATATCTGTTCCATGTTGGATATTTTATTGATTAGCACGATGGTTGAAAGTTTGGTTTTCTTATTAATTAAAATATTAAGTGTGCTTCAGTGAACTACAAGAGCAGATGATTGTGGAAGCTGATGATAATATTGATTTTACAACTGTAGAATAATTGGCACAACTTTTGCGTTTTCAAGAAGGATCTACAGTGTGGTCTGCTGATATGATTAAGGCCATGGATTTCCATCTGTGTGACTGCAACTTTGGCCTAGGAGTATATCCTTTATTCATGTGAGATTTTTTTTTTTTTTGTATGCAAGTTGCCTCACAGGCTGAAGACAGTCTTCAGTGGGTATAAAGTCCCAAACCATAGGGCTAAAAAACTTTAGTCTAAATGAGAGGCTAATCCCGACATGTTTGGGTAACCCTTGGATTGCATTTTGTATATTTAGTATCTTACAGGAGATGATTCTTCATATTCGTTTATACTAACAAGCAGTGCATTTTCACTTACGTTGTGCCTGAAGTAAACTCAATAAAGGGGATGTTTCATTCACAAGTTCACATGGCTGCCTCAATCCAGTAAATGGTGGTGACAGCCAGCTTGAATGAATGAAACTGAAAAATGTGATGAGAATCAGGAGTTATCAAATTTAAGTTCCCTTTAAGAGTTTCCTGTTCACAATATTGCTGAACTACATCCTCATAGCTGGGAGTGTTTAGAAATATTGACACTTTTACATCAGTTTTCCAATAACGTTTGTCTCCTAAATTACCTGACCTGCCAAAAAAGCAGCAGAACAGCAAATATCAGAAGAATAGTCTATTAATGGTTTGGACTTTAGGAGGTCTTGGATCAGTTTCCAGCTCAACTACTGGCTTTCCTCATAACTCTGGGCATCTTGCATACTGTAACTTTTATGCTTCAGTTTACTGAGCTTAGTTAAGTTCAGGGTTAACAGATAAAGGGCAGGAGAAGAAAAATACTATCTTGTCTGTTTAATTTTTAACCTCCATAGCAGGGGGTTCCCAACCTTTTTATGCTGAGGACCAGCAAACCCTGGACCGGAAGTGACTGTGTACTGGCAAACTGGACCAGCCGTGACCGCTGCAGGCAGGCTGCCTGTCCATAGTATGCTGGTCACTTCCAGTCCACAGTTTGTTGGTCTGCGGCCACTTCCAGTCCGCAGCAGCCAACCGTCCTGAGGACTGGCAGCCAGTCCTTCACGGCTTGGTACCAGGCTGCAGCCTGGGGGGTGGGAACCCTTTGTTTTATAGGACAAGGCCTGTCTCTTACTTTGGGGGGTTGGGAACCCTTACTTTTATAGGACAAGGCCTGTCTCTTACTTTGCTTTCATATAGTTTCGTATACAATGGCATCTGATTTCAGTTGTGATCTCTAGGCATTATGCAAATACAGACATGGTAGAACACTGAACAGATGTACAGCAATCAGCTTCATGTCCAATCGGTCACATTTTACATGTTGTTTCTGTAGTGCAGTTCCTTTTTTTAACTGTTTTTAAAGAGGTGAGGGAAGAGGCTGCTCAGGAGGGCACATTAGCTGTCACACTATAACTAGGGACCGATGGCTGTGAAAAATTATGTTGGCCACAATTTCCTGTGGAATTGACCCTCGCCCCTCACCTCTCAAAGTACTTTACTGGAATATAAAGACTTAGACTTAAATTTAATACTTGGATTTATACTAATATGGTAATGATATGAAATGTGTATGATATTGCTACATAATTTGCTATTTAATTATGCAGTTTTTGCCTCTCAGCCAATCAACAGCAAGGGATGGGGCCACCAGAGACCCTCTGCCAATCAGTGGTGAGGGGCGGGACCACTGTAAAATGCCTGCAAAATCAGCTCTGTGCAACATAAGCCGACCATGAAAAACCTTTGTCTCGCTGCAATTTAAATAGGTCCCTAACTATAACGTTTAGCTCATTATGAGAATGAAGAGGTAAATCTCTGTAAATACAACCCTGAATGAAATGGGGTTACAAATGCAGCAGTTTTGCTACTTCAGTAAGCAGAGGTAATCTTTTCAGTATACAGTTACCAGTCAACCACCTGTCTTCATATCTGCTTGTGGGTTGATCTCAACTACTGTGGCTGTTAAGTGCTCTACTGTAATAAATAACAAACTGTCTCCAAGCCAGCAGTTACCTGAACTGGGTTCAAACAGTGCAGATAGATGTTGTTTCCATCCTGTGCCTCTGCAAAAATGTGTTTTTAGTATTAGTTATACTGTATTTAGACATTATTTTTGTTGAGCTACAGTGTTTGTAGCACAAAAAAAGGAACTTTAAGTTGCCACACATTCAAAGCCCCCCTGATTGGAGCATGACAAAGGCATGGTTTCCAGACAGAATGGTAGAAGACTTCTCTATGGCTCCCCCTGCCCACAAGGAAGCCTGTCAGTGAGCATTAAAGTTCCTGATACCTGCCACCCAGTATTTGGGAACACCACTGCCTGGTGTGCTGAGAACCATAAAGATCCTGCCTGCAGCCCAGGATGCTGGAGTTGTCCCCAGGGAGAGGTGTGAAGCCCCAGGGAATGGTCCTCTTTTGCACTAATCAGCTGGTCATCCCAGTTTTGTACAAGGGACATTCTCCTTCCACAGACTGTAACTCACTGGTTTGGACCCAGGGTAGCAGCTGGAGCTGCAAGTTTGCCTTCTGTGGTGAGAGGGGGGAGAGTATGCCCCACCCCCTTACAAGCAGCTTCAGGCTGCACTTGACAGCACTGGTGGGGCAGTGAGAGAGAGCAGTGTACTCTGGGGTATTGGAGGACCTAGTAGAGCCCTGTCACTCAGTGTAACGTACCACGTATTCAGATTAAGGGGGGGATACACACAAGCCACAAAGATGTCCCTCATTTAATGAGGAACATCTCAGAGGCTGGTTCACCATTTTCATTACATGATAAATTATGCTGAAAATGTTACAATTTACAACAGTTAATGCATGAATCAGACGATAAATGTAATGTCCACCAGGACTTTAGTTATAGGGGTAAAAGTCCTCTTTCTTTTAGTTCTTCCTGTTCCTACCCTTATCTCCTCCCAGTATTTGTTTGGCCACCAAAAATGCAGTAGTTGCATGTTCAAGAACTAGTTATCTTTGTGTTATTTTGTTGAATTCAGCATTACTGTATTCACTCAAATAGAAGACAACCCTAATTATAGGAAGCCCTTCCCTTCCCCCCACCAATTAGATTCTGTATATGGAAAACTTATAAATTTGTTATAATTTTCCAGGTATAGAATCTAATTATTGGAAGTTTGTCTTGAATTTGTCCCCTGTAGAGTAGTTCAAAGACAGAATTGAACAATACATTTTCTAAATATAATGAGTATTGGAGCTTGTCAGCTAAATGAGTATTGTTGAAATAACAGTTAGGCCTTATTTGGGGTTTGCATAATTGTTCACCAGTAGAGTTGTTGCTCTGCTTAGTTTTGGTGTGGCTGATTGTGTATTCTTAGTCTTTTGAGCACTTCTGTTCAGTCTCCTATAGTAGATAAATATTCTGTCCTTTTCCTTATACCGAGCCAAGAGAAGAAACCTTTCCTTATTCTTGCTTAGGCTAGAGTTCAGCACCAGTATTGTTGGCCAGTAAAACTGAGGAAGACAGTGAAGGATCTTTGAACTTACCTTCTTAACTGAGCTGTGGAGAAGAATCCTTTTTAGATCATCCTGGCATTGGATGAGAAGTAACCCACTTCAGTGGCAGGGGAGGCCAAGCCATGCACCCCTAGAGTTGGGAAGATGGTGGTGGTTGGCGACCCCTTCCTGTAGGGCACAGAGATATTCATCTACCAGCTTGACCTGGTGGCTTGGGAGTTCTTCTGCCTGCTAGGAGCCTGTATCTGAGACATCATGGAAAGGTGGCCAAGGTTTATCTGACTACTATCCCATGCTGCTCATCCATTAATGATACTGCCAAGGGGAGCCTTGGATCTGGTGCATGGATCTGTGCTCAACAGTGGAAGGGACAGGGGCCAGGACAGTATTCTTACCTATCCTTCCAGTTAACGTAAAGTCCCGGATAGGAGCAGATGCATCCTGGAGGTCAACATATGGCTGCATAGATGGTGTCACCAGCAGGGCTTTGGCTTCTTTGACCACAGGGTGTTCCAAGAAGATTGACAGCTGGGAAA